CATTGCTGTTCTGTTGTAAGTAATCTTAAAGATTCCTAAATGCATCTACTTTCGGAAGGCCAAATAAAGTGCTTTTGCTTTCGCCTAGAAACACACAGCGTTTCCCTGACATGGCTGCTTCAACACTAACTGCGGTTACTGAAACCACGCCTTCTTTCTTTGCGTGCACATTTGGGCCGCATTATGCTAATATTGCCACATAGTGAGGTAAATATGTGGGGGCGTGTTAGAACGAGCCGTTTTAGGGGGGCGTGGCAGAGTCTTAACTTTGATAAAGAATATCTCTTTGGTTTTGAGACTTTAGTCTTTGCAACTTCAGGGATCTTATCTATGCACAATCAGCTTGTAACACTCCAAAGAGAAAGGAAAACTTGAAATCGCATCATATGACCCCTTTAACACTAAACACAAGACATCTTGAAAAAATATGCTTGTCATTTTATATTCAAGAACACTTCCATAAGGGAGTTTTATTCTTCTGTCATGAAGCCTTTATTCTCCACACTCGGTAGCAGATTTTCTTCACTTTGGCTGTTTCCCACTACACTCTTTTTAATACCAGGTCTCCATTTTAGTGATTGCTGTACTTAATACGACTCTCTCCTCAGCCTTGGCTCATGATCTGAGAGCTGGAGCCAAGCCTGTGACAAACAGTTCTCTGCACAACTTTAAAGCGATGAGTTTTTGCCAAATAGCAATGAGTCAGTGAACCAAACCTTCAAAACAGCTCTTAAAGGCCTGTCTCAAAGGAGTGATTCAGAATCAAGCAGCACAGCCACAGTGCCAGCCTTAGATAAAGACAAGAAGTATATTCACACTTTTATGTTCCGTTGCACAAACATACCATAACTTGCTGCATGGTTGTGGTGGCTGACAACTGGCACATCCTAGTATTGCCATATTGAGGCTTTTAAGATTCACAAGAGGGTGAACATTACATGGGGTTTGGGAGAGTCTGATTTTCCAGTTAAAAGGGAACCAAAAAGAACCCCCCAAAAAGTCAAAACAAGAGGTTAGGGGATCTTAAAACAACACTACCATTCAGAAGGTTCCATACGATTTTTAAAATGTTTTTTAAAGATGTCTCTTATGCTTAACAAGGCTGAATTATTTGATCAAAACAAACATTGTGGAGTATTATTATAATTCATTTATTAAAATAACTGTTTTCTATTTTAATATATGTCAAAGCTGAATTTTCAGTGGCCATTACTCCAGTCTTGGTGTTAGTTCTTTTCTAGGACAGTTTAAAAGAACAGCATTTATTTGAAATAGAAATCTTTTGTGATATTATAAATGTCTTTACTGTTAATATTGATATATCCTTGTTAAAAAAATATATATATGCATTTTTTAATAGTAGTGTAAATAAACTGGAAAAAAAGTTATTTTTGAATGATAGCATAATTAAACTTTTAATTTGACATATTACATGTTTCATTAGCTTTTATTTGAGCTCTTGTCGTTATAGGATCAGTATAAAAACCTAACCTGAACAGTTGCTGTTATTTTTTTTAGATTTACACTTTTTTCTTAGATTATCAATTTTCTATCTAAAAAGTTGATAATGAGATTGTAGGTTACTGAAAACTAAATGGTTAGCATTTGGCTAGCTATGGTCGTAGCTCCAAACAACAACTTGTTCTGTGCAAAAAAAACGAATCTCAACAGATTTTGCTTCCAAAAAATTGTACAAAAATTTGACTCTCTCATTTAATTCTCACACTGATTTATGCACTGTCAGAGAAAAAGGTACAAAATCTGTCACTGGGGCAGTACCTTTTCAAAAGGTACACTTTTGTACCTTTTAGATAATATGCACACTTTAGGGTAGTAATACAGTATGTACCTTTAAGGTACCAATATGGACCTTTTAGGTACAAAGGTGTACCTTTTGAAAAGCATTGGTATCTTTATTTCTGAGAGTGATGGTACACAGATATAATAAGCATTGATGCTTAAAATATCTTAACGCAACATTGCAGCATTTCATAACCACAGGGGGTCAGGATGTTTTTAACGCATCGCTTGATTGACAGACTAATCCATGCAGCTGCTCTTTTTCTGTTTTATAAAACTTATAATAATCATTTCCTCTCCCACTGCACGTAAGACACAATGTGGTTTTATTATCCTTGATGAAGGAGGTCACACATTATTGAACGAACAATCTGAACATATTAATTCACTATTTTCAGAAAGGCAGGGAAATGGTTCTCTAGTTCACCTCCTTGCTGGCTGTGCAAGTCTTCCCATCTGATGCTGATCTGCATTTGTGTCCATTCTCATCTGATCATTCCATTCGCTCTGTCCACACTCCATTGCTCAGACTCAACTACCCGCTCACTGAACCACACAGTGGATCGAGTTCTTGGCATCTCTGCTAGTCACCATCACGTAGTTCTGATCTGCATGTGAAGACTTATTTCAGAAGAATGTTTACGGTTTAAAATCACTAGAAGCTAATTTATTAACACTTTACTAATCAGATCCATCATTAACATTCTCTCATCATGATAGTTACTGTAAACAAAAGGCCACGTTTCTGTCATGTCATGTTATGCTAGTAGCCAAACAAAGCATTTTGTCATCTGCAATGCATTACTAGGACTTTACCTTAGATGGGCATCATATATCAGCATCCAGACTTTGCAAACATCTTTTAGATATATTATCAGATTTGTCCACCTGAACCCCACTGAAACAAAACCCCATAAAAGAGTCATTCAAACCTTCCGTTGCAAGCAGCAGTGACCTCCTCTCCTGCAATTTAACCACAAGTCTTCACTCGATAGTCCACACTACCTATAAAACCATGTATCAGAGCTGGATTCATGCACCAATGCAAAGGAACAAGGACAAAAATGTGACAGGAGAGTTGTGCAGAGGCCTTGACAGCCACATTATATTCAAACAACAAGTCAAATCATTGGAAACAAGCTGCTGGGCCTCCACACAAGTTTTTCTGATATTTCTCTAGTCCACTAACAGAACGTTGTTTTGTGTTTTTCCAGACAGTTTCTTGATTCGGACATGCCTAGGTATATTACCTTCAAATCCCTTTCCTCTCATAAGATACACACACACACACACACACACACACACAGAATGTGTATTTTTCATCCTTTTATTTATATGGCCATCTGTCCAATCAACCTCCATCGTTCTTTGCATCATTTTTTGGCTCTTAAATACTGCTCTCTCTGCGTTCTTGTTGGTTTGCCTATTTATTTTCTCCTTCCCTCCTACTGTTTCTGAAAATGTGAGAGAATTTCACTCTGGCTCCCATGGAAATGCTTTTGTGTGTGAAGCTTCTGTTCTGTATTGTATGTTTTTGACATTTTTGGCACCTCTAGGTGACTGGATTGCATGGCTTGGCTTTTGTAGGGGCTGCATTTTGGCTAAATCATTTGCAGGAGGTGTGGTAGAGATCATAGTCACCTTCCCAGCTAACAGGGAATGTTTTTAGAACTTATTCTTAAAGTTATGAACAAATGTTCTTTCAGTAATGTTAATAGAATGTTGGTTTAAAGTTATCTGGTCTTTAATAATGTTCTCAAAACGTAACAAAAAGGTTCATGGAATTTTTCTCAAAAACTTTATTTATTTTTTAAATATTACTACTTGTTTCAGAATGTTCAGAGAACATTCAAAGGTTCCCATAATGTTTGCAAAATGATAGAATGTGAATAAATGTCTCCTTAACATTTGCATAACCAAACTGGACATTTTGAAAACATGAAACTAATTTGAAACATGAAAATGAATCAATTTTTAAACAACTTTATAAATAAATGTGTATTCAATGTCAATCACTTATTCATCAGTCACACATTCTTCCAGTTTAAACGATAAGGATTAACAAAAAAACAAAAAGTCACTAGGCTACCACACACAATCAGTCCCATATAAATGTATTGCTCTTGCTCAACAAATTAGGTGACATCTCTTAATTAAAAATTTATGGTTTCAGTTAAACTCTTCTGCAACCAGATCAAGTTCCATCACAAATGTCAAAGCAACACCGTAAAACACAACTTTGCCTGTGTGGGGCGATAACTGTGGGCCAGACCACACACTGTGAGGTCTGTGTTGTTTATGGGCGGGAGGGCTTGCTCCGCTAACTTTGGTATTAATCACGAATCTCTGAACAAAATTAGTGTTACATTAGTCTACTGAGATTTACGATCTCGTACGAAAAAATGCGTTTAGTCATGGTTATTGACAGTTAGCCTCTGCTGACATTCTCTGCTCACGATTAGTTGTTCTTTTTTACCACTAGGGGGCAGTGTTTCTTAAGAGATTTTAAACGCTGTCGCTGTGTCGCCTGAATGACCATAAGCAAACATTTCTAAAAGCTGTTTGTTCTGCAGACTGTAATTATCAAATCAGGACAACTATAACTCCAGGAATTAGCTGCTTGTTTGTAAATATAAGGGTAGTGTATTGGCACAGAGGGATGTGAGAGCATTGTTATTATCCAGATCAGTTTTACTTGTTGTGTTACCCGGACTGTTTAGTTTATCGGGGCAATTATCACATTGAGAATTGTATTTATCATGCATTCAATTCAACACCCTTTTCTAACTGTTATTGCAAAACTACAGTTTTTCATATATGTTTGATCTATACACAAAAAATATCCTGTTAAGTTTATTATAAAAACTGACAGCTGTGGTTGCCAGAAATTCCCTGTAAAATTACTGTGGCAGTGTTTCCAGTATTACAGGATGGCATATTGGTGTCTGTATATTTTACAACTTTTACAGCTGTATATTTTATTAAGTGACTTAATGTTAGTATACCAATCTATTTGAACTACCGAAATCTCCTTTGTACTTTAAAATTTACTAATAGCCACCATTATAATACAGGTGGTACAATAAAAAATACCACATGTTGAATCAGAGTTCATCATAAATGGGTTGTTCATAAAACATAGCCAATACTCATATATTCAGTATATTCATATATTTAATACTCATGCACAGGGTCATACAAATAATGACAAAACACCATCAGGGTAACACACGGCACTAAAATAATGCAATAAACTTTAACTAAATAACAGAAAATGTAACGTGAAATACTCTACATTATATTATGTACAACAAAACTAAGAAGAAACAAATATTTGTAAAAATTTAAATTAAATATAACGATGCATAGCTTTTCACACAGACTTTTTAATGTTTACCATTTAAACTATATGGTAATTCATAGTTTTTACTTCCAAAAACTGTGGCAGTATTTTACAGTAAAATTACATGTAATTCAATGTTAAACTATTTATTTATTTAACAAATGTGGTAAGAAAAGGTACAGTTAAACCAAGTTACAGTTAGCATTTTTACAACAGCATAAATTACTTTTTCATAATTTGACAATTTGTGGACATAAAGAACCTAACAAATTGAAAGCAATAAAACATTTGGAAGGTAAGAAGACTCCTTACAGCATTCGATATTATTCTTAGTATACACTTGTCTCCTTGGTAACTGGTATCCGCACCCAACAACCTCCAATGTAGTTCCTAAGAGTTTTTGCAGGGGAGTTGAGTACAGAACTGCAGTGTCTCTCTCATTCATGTTGTCACAGAAAACGTTTTAATTTCCAGCAGCCTGGGTGGCAGAGTTCAGCAGCTCGACAATCCATGCAAGCATTACCTCATTGGTAGCATGCTTGCTTTCTTACCCCTGTGCAATGAGCAATTCTTCAATATTATTTAGGTCCTCGATGCAAGCAGAGCCAATAAACTGAGAAAGAAATGTCTCGATGTATATTTTGCTAAGAACATGAGTTATAGTTTGAATTGGCTGATATAAGAAATTGAAGGGAAAGAAATATTGAAAGGGAAGTTAAAACAACAGGAAATCTCTTTTATCATGTGTAAATGGGAGGTGGAAATTATCCTCACAATCCCTCATGTTGCTTGGTATGTTAAGCTTGATTTATGTGGTTGTTTGGGAGTGAACAATAGCATCAGAAATGGTTTGGTTGAGTGTCTTCTAAATGTGATCTTTATGAGAAGGCCTGTTTGTGTCCTAACCTTTTAAAAGGTACACTTTGTACACTCAGCAGTCGTGGGGCTGTAACTACCATATGTACCCTAAATATTCAGATGGAAGATCAATATGGATTTTTCATTTGCAGACATATCCAGAAGTTTCTAGGAATCTAACTCTTCCAAAACCAAGTCTATGTCAAGTCCAAGTCCAAACTAAGTCTTAAGACAATTTTTTGTAACAGTTTTGCATTTTCTTTCCTTAAATAACCACTTATTAGGAGTTGTCTCTTCAGTTTTCCCATAATAAAAGTAAATGGATATGGTAACTGGGTATAAGATTATGACATTAAAATTCTGTCATCATTTACTCACACTCATGTTATTCCAAATCTGTATTAATCCCTGACTTAATTTCTTTTGTGTCTCCAAAAAGAAGATATTTTGAAGAATGTTGGAAACCAAACAACACTGAAGCCCATTGTCTTCCATTATATGGACCAAAATAAAATGTCGTCTTCTATGTAACACAGAAAAACATGAGGGTTAGTAAAGGCTGGAATGCACTACGTGACTTTTGAAATCTGAACAGATTTTAAAATGCCAGGCGTCGTACACTTGACTTTGTAAATGCTTACAGAAAAAAACCTACACCATGCTATTATACACACAATTTTCTGTGAAATCTGTTAACTCCAGCTGCCCAAAATCTGCAGACTGGCTCTGATGTTTGGCAACTATTGTCAAATTGTCCACTCTACAAATCGGAGCAAAAATCGGGGCAAAGATTGTGTAGTATATTCCAGCCTTAAATGATGACAGAATTTAATTTTTTGGGAGAACAATCCCTTTTAAGACCTCAATAGACTAAGAAGTGAGATGGTCTTCTCTAGACCTTTTCCATGATCACAACCCCATAGTGACCCTTGAAGTTTCTCCCACATTGTTTCATTATTTTCCCTCTATCCCTTCAACAAATCAATTTCCAGGACCTCTCTCACTACCTTTTTTCTCTCTCCATGTCTGAATGACAACCTTAAAGCTGCCTACTGGGTAATGCCGGTCCATTCACTTTAACACTCAACATCTAAAGCACACAAGCTCAATCTATCACATACCTCAGAGAAGCTCGGCCCCTCTCATATACTTCTGACTCAGGCATTTGGAGATTTAAGACCCTTCCCAGGCCGAGGGCCAGAAATATCTAATCATTCCGGCAGGTTATGGCCTGTATTCATCAGAGCGAGGGTGGGTAGGCTGGAAGTTCAGCAAGGTGAATATGATTTATGAGTAAGATGCAGCCCATACTATTTTCATCTAATACTTTCTCATGATATAGCATAACTTCGGGGCCAATATTAGTTCATTTGAGGTCTGTGAGACCATAACAGAGCTGATGTGAGTTAATGGAAGATGCAATAATATCTCTCGAATTGTTATATGCTAACAACCAGAGACCGTAGTTTACTTCTCTGAACTGTCTTACCTATGATTATAGCATTGATTCTTTCCTTTCCACCTAAAGCATTTCCTTGGGGATTGATCCTAGGTATATGTGTCCCCTTGTACCTGCCTCCCTCCTCTAATGATCATTTCTTTCATCCCTCTTTATTTTAATTTGATTTTTGTATTTTTATTGATAACTGTCATTGATTTACACATCGTTGGTGGTGGTATTCATATCTAGTGATGAAGCTAAAGTGTTTTTTGCATGCATTTATATTGTCTCCACTCCTGGTCACCATTTTTAAACACTTTTGTGTTCTTAGAATGTCACTTTATACAATATGATCTGATTTATCAGATGTAAGTGCTTTGCCTAACAAGCTGACCATATTTATTATGTATTCAAATAGCATTTAACAATAGCATATGAAATTATAATATAAGAGACTGTAAATTCACCTTGGTCTATGAATTAAATTATATCTTTAAGGCTATTTTCTACCGTTAATCTAGGATATTCTACCATTTTGAGGCTGCTTGGGATTCATCCATGCACAACTCTTTGCTGCTTAACCGTGTCACTCCTTATGGAGAGAAAATCTACATGACTCTGTCTGCTTACCTGGAGGTAACCAAGGCCATTCACTTATTTATATGGGGGGATGAGAAGTTCATTTGGGAGAGTTACAGACCTACATGATTTAGTTCCAGCTAATTTAATGTACCAAACAGCCCACAGCATTTGTAATGGTTGAATCAAGTACATATGTGGAAAAAGAGGCAAATAGCAGTAAACTTTGTGGCTCTATAGAGTGCAACAGTGCTTGCCTACTTGTAGTAGTGGCCCTGGTTCTGTGAAGTATTTTCCTATTCACTTTTCCACAGGCATAAAAAAATAATAATAAATAAAAAACTTGAATAAAGAATTTTATGATGTTATGAACCAAACCAGCTTCTAGGTTAGTGAAAACATTCCAAATTTTGATTTAAAGCAAGTATTTGAAAATCAGATAAAAGGACATTTCTTGATGAAACATTCAATAAAGCATTGCAAATGATGTAATCAGTGGCGACTGATTTTAAGTATAGAAACTATCTACTTTAAGTTTCTTAGAAAATATTCAGATATGCACTATTGTTCAAATGTTTGGGGAAGATTAAAGGTTTGGAGAAGATTTAAGATTTTCAAAATGTTTTTAAATGAAGTCTCTTGTTTTTACCAAGGCTGCATTAATTTGATCAAAACACAGTAAAAAAAAAAAAGTATAATAATAATATTGTGAAATATTATAAAAAAAAAAAAAAATGTTTTTATCTGTTTTCTATTAATATGTTTCAACGCTTATTAATTTATTCCTGTGATGGAAAAGCTGAATTTTCAGCAGCTGTTACTACACATGATCCTTCAGAAATCATTGCAATAAATATATATTGTAAGCATATAAGTAGGGACTGGGTGATCGCTGTAGAGCTTGTTTGGCATCATTTGAGTCCACAGCATGAATGAGTATACACCCTCTGAAACTTAACAAATTCAGCAATTACTCGTACTTAGAAGATTATTATCCTCCAGGAGTTAAACAGCCAATTTGTCATGAACTTGTACACTCCGTACCGCTAGTACGGTACTAGAATATTATACATTTGTTGAATTAAATCTAGGGTGTATTAATTTTTGCAATCCTTCATTTAAACAAAATGGGCTAATTTACTTATTTTACAGATGCATCATATACAGTGCCATCAATAAACAGCATTGGAGCTCATTGTAGGTCTATTATATATAAGTTACCATTAAAAATCAATTCCTCTTTTGGAACCTGACTGTTGCACTCTGTAGATGTTGCTTGTTCTTTATCAAGCTATGGTTATTTGAAGCACCATTTTAGATTGAAAGGCTTACAATGGTTTGCTCTTCCCAGATGGAGAACTGCACACAGCCCACAGTGATAACCAAAGACTTATGCATGGTGTTCTACTCAAGAGACGCCAAGCTCCCAGCATCTCACTCCATCAGGAACCTCTTCAGCAGTGGCACCTTGAGGCCATCTGAAGGGTACAGCTCCTTCATATCACCACACAAGTCCTTTGCAATGTTGCTCTTGTAATTTAAAGGGATAGTTCACCCAAAAATGAAAATGACCCCATGATTTACTCACCCTCAAGCCATCCTAGATGTATATGACTTTCTTCTTTCAGACGAATCCAATTGGAGTTATATTTAAAAGCGTCCTGGCTCTTCCAAGCTTTATAATGGCAGTGAATGGGTGTTATTTTTCAACAGTCCAAAAGACGTCAAATAAAGTGCATCCATCCATCATAAAAAGTGCCTCACACGGCTCCGGGGGCTGAATAAAGGCCTCCTGAAGCGAATCAATGTGTTTTTGTAAGAAAAATATCCATATTTAAAACTTTATAAACCGTAATTTCTAGCTTGTGCTAACTTGCACGTTCCTTCAGGCAGATGATGTAGGCTTATTGTAAGGTCCGGTGAGAAGTGACGAATGAGGAAGTGCAGAGGAGAGAGCATAACAAAACACCAGTCACGAATTAGAAGTACAAAGCGAAGATTTGTAAAGAAAAATGCTAAAGTATGGAAACTTTGCTTCCTTTGCTCCTGTAAACAAACGTCGGTTCTCGCGAGACTAGCATATTCTCACCGGACCTTACGCTCATAGATATGTATATGCTTACGCTACGCCTACATCATCCGCCGGAATGGCGTTAACTCCGACTGGATTCGTCTGAAAGAAGAAAGTCATATACACCTAGGATGGCTTGAGGGTGAGTAAATTATGGGTAATTTTCATTTTTGGGTGAACTACCCCTTTAAGTTACCATATTGTTTTCTATTGTTTTTACGTTTAGAAACCGTGTAACTGGTGTGTATGAGCTCAGTCTGTGCCACCTGGCTGATGCAGGGAGCCCAGGTAAGACACCAGTTACCTCATGTGTGTTTCATTGGGGATTTATGGGATGCTGGGCAATTTAGATTTTAGGGGGTTCTGCTGTTGAAATGACACCTGAATGTGCAGG